TTCTCTTTGCAGTACTATTGTCCTCCGTAGTTTGCTCCCTTAGTCGGCTCTTACGACACCCACGGAATAATTGGGTGGTGACAATCCGTATTCTTAATCCATCACCGAAAAAATCATTAGTTATAAAGTTATACTTTTATAAATTAATGAACAATATAATTAAAGAAACAGTCTCAGGTGTCATTAAATTCAAATGTGTTTTTTATCATTGAACAAGTACCAACTTAATAAAAATGTATAAAAAACTACATTAAAAAAATGGGTATAAACAAACCCTTCAGACTCTCTTACACGGTACACATCCGACCTTGAGTAGAAATTCACTTGACATAGCGTATATCGCTCAAACGTGACCTGAAGAAGGTCTGTCGATGCTGATGCTCGAAGCTTATATCTTAATGAACTACGTGTACGTATTTGATGTACTAGTTATGAGCGATAGATATTAATAAGGCTCATAGTCTATAGTTCGTTATCTTGTGATAAATATTAAATGAATACTAGACCGGTGGTTCGACTAAAACTCATCTATGTATATTCCTTTTTTGTTTATTTTATTATCTGGTAAATCGTGCACTAATCATTTTAAAGCTTTCCGTACCATCAATAGTCAATATTGTATTATAAACATATGTATACTAGATGATTTTAGAATATTTTTTTCTCTTATTCGCACTAGCAATCCGCCCCGGCTTCGCACGGGTGCAATGTAGATACTACTAATGCCACTGATGTGTCAGTGTAGAGTAATTTTTATGAAAAGACTATACTACAACATCTTTATTTATACATGATATCTTCATATGCAACATTTATAGGCCGCTCCTGCCGGCCGCTGCCACCCAGGACGGATGTAAGGCATTTTAAATCTTTGATATTATCTTATTATCTTCTTAGATATTCACTTTAAAAATATGCTGTAAATGGCAATTTTGATCTACAATGCCTACCAAAACGTACCTAACGTATTTAAGTATAGTAGGCCAAAACCTCCTTTCTAAGGAGATGCCTATGTTCAGCAGTGGACTATTAAAGGCTGTTAATGATTATTCTTATAAATATTATATTCCATCCTAGATTTTTTGTAGATATTTTTAAGATATATAATTTCGTAGTATATTTTTTGATCTATCTCGTTTTGTTTAGCCAGCGTTTGCAATGTATGCGTACAAAAACATGTTTTTTACGACTTCACATTACAAATCTTTGAAATTCGCATTCATGAAAACAAATAAACCTGCCTCTTAAATCACTCTCTCCCTATTGGTAAAAAAAACATTAAAATCCGTTGCGTCGTGTGAAAGATCTAAACTAGAGGTACAAAGAAAGACCGAATTCGTTTTATACTATGTAAAGGTACATAAAAGTTAAACATTCTAAGTTACTCGCTCGCTACAAAACAATTCTACAAATATAGACATGTATTACACTATAATATAACTGAATATTTGATAATGAATTAAAACTAAAGCGATAATCGATAGTAATAAAAAGAAAAAAAAAGGATGTATATTGAGTACATATATTTAAATAATGTGTGTGAGTGTCTGTAGTATCAAATAACAAAAATTATTAGTTCCACAGTTTCTTAGCAAAACATATTGCGGTTTATTAAAGCGTTATTATCTTACTTATAAATTACTTCTTATTAAACATTTCATTATCATTCTCTTTCGTAACTCTCAACAATACTATATCTGTGTTTACATTGAAATTAATAAATTGAAGCATACTAATTTATCTGTGCAGATACGACGCCACGGCCGGCGAGCTGATAATGTGTGCTTCCTGAGCAGCTGTGACCCTATAACCCTTCTCATCAACAAAATGCCTTATCAACCACATAGTTTTTTTCTCTTATTCGCACTAGCAATCCGCCCCGGCTTCGCACGGGTGCAATGTAGATACTACTAATGCCACTGATGTGTCAGTGTAGAGTAATTTTTATGAAAAGATTATACTACAACATTTTTATTTATACATGATATCTTCATATACATTTATAGGCCGCTCCTGCCGGCCGCTGCCACCCAGGACAGATGTAAGGCATTTTAAATCTCTGATATTATTATCTTCTTAGATATTCATTTTAAAAATATGCTGTAAATGGCAATTTTGATCTACAAACCTTTTTTTTTTTTTTTTACGTGTGGAAATCCCCTCGGACCGTCACCCCGCCGGGGCTCTTGTTCGGCGGGGCGGTGTGTCGGACTCGAACCGACTAAAACCACACGGTGTGCCCTCTTTGCGCTTCCAGTTTAGGAGGGGTCCAGGTAGTTATCGCCTTCTGGACCCCTCCCAGCGCCGGCCCGCTCCTGGCGCGGGCTCCGTCTCAAGGACCTTTCTTAGGCGACGTCCGGCACACGCGGACGCCGCCCCCTCGCGGCTGGCCAAACTAATGCGGGTGGAGGGGAGAACCCATCCCGTCCACCCGCGGCCACACTCAGGGCGGCATGAGGCGCAGGTGAGCGCGCCTCCGCCGCCCGGTTCGCCGGCGGCGGATCAGGTCCGAGTGGAGGTCGTCCTCCCGGGCCTTCTCCGCCGCCTCCTTCTGGGAGATTACCTCCTCGCAGAAGGTTGCGATCGCGGTAAAACAACTGTCGCTACCGGCCATGGAGCGAATTACGGCCGGTAGCGAGAGATCTGCTCCGATGACTGCAGTGAGGGCCCGGCGCTGCGTCGCCCATGCGGGGCAAACCGCCAGCGTGTGCTGGGCCGAATCCTCATTGCAGTCGCAGTGGTGGCAGGCGGGACTCGATTCCCTCCTAGCGACCGAGTACAGGTACTTTCCGAAGCAACCGTGCCGGGAAAGCACCTGCGTCAGCCGGAAAGAAAGGGTCCCGTGCTGCCGCCCTGCCCACTCGGCGATGACCGGCTGGAGAGCATCCACGGCGGCGAAGCCAGCGCGTGGAGTCTCCAGCCGGAACGACCATCTGACTATGGTGGCTCGGCGAGCGGCTTCGCGCCACTCGCGCACGTCTTCGGCCGGAGGGCGAAATACGCTCTCCGCCCGGAAGTCAGCCACTCGCCGATAAACTTCGGCGAGCACTTCCGCCTCCAACTCCCACGGGGGTGTTCCGGCCAAGGCGCAAGCCGCCTCGGTGAACACCGTGCGGTATCCGCGTATGGCTCTGACCGCCAATATCCTCTGGGGGCGCCAGAGGCGCGCCCTATTCGGGGCGGTCAGAGCCGCCACCCACACCGGTGCACCATACAGCGCCATGGACCGGACAACCCCCGCGTACAGCCGCCTCGTGGGAACACTGGCCCCGCCCAAATTGGGCAAAAGTCGCCCTAGGGCGGAGGCAGTGTCCACCAGCTTAGGACCAAGCTGTCGGAAGTGCTCGTCGAAGAGCCACCTACCGTCTAGGACCAGACCCAGGTACCTCATCTGGGCCCGGACCGGTACGAGGACCGAGCCGACCTCGATTGAGGCGCCGGCGGGTGGACCACGACGGGGCCCATGGAATAATAGGGCCTCCGTCTTATCCAGGGCCACCCGTAATCCCAACGCCTCAATGCGCCCGACCACCTGGGAAACTCCCGTGGCAGTCAGGCGCGCCGCCTCCTGGAAGTTAGCCCCCCGGGCCGTGACTAAAGTGTCATCCGCGTAGCAGATGACACCCAGCCCGGGGGGGGACGCCCTCGTAGGGCCCAGTCGTACCCGATGTTCCACAGGCGAGGTCCTAGGACAGACCCCTGCGGAACACCGCACGACATGGCCCTGCGTCTCAAGACGCCATCTCAGTCCTCGTACATGACGGTTCGCTCCTCAAGATAGTCTGCCACCAGCCGCCTCAGGTACTCCGGCACTCCGTGGTAGCGGAGCGCTTCCCTGATGCAGCTGAATGGCAGACTATTGAAGGCGTTGGCGATGTCCAAGGACACCGCCAACACCACTCCGCCGCAGCTCACGGCCTCCTCGGTCACGGCCCTAAGGCGCATTACGGCATCGATCGTCGAACGCCCCTCTCGGAAACCGAATTGGGCATCCGACAGATCGGGGCCAACCTCGCAAAGGTGCCGGACGATGCGGGCAGAGAGCACCCTCTCAAAATGATCTACAATGCCTACCACAACGTACCTAACGTATTTATTTCAATAAAGAATAATACTGTATTGTTCAAAATTGTAATTGTAGAAGATAAAAATGGTTACTGTGGATTATTCTCATAAATAGAATATTCCATCCTAGATTTTTTGTAGATAGTTTTAAGATATATAATTCCGTAATATATTATTTTGATCTATCCTTTGAAATTCGCATTCATGAAAACATATGAACCTGCCTCTTAAATCACTCTCTCCCTATTTGTAAAAAAAAAAAATTAAAATCCGTTGCGTCGTGTGAAAGATCTAAACTAGAGGTACAAAAAAAAAGCGAATTCGTTTTATACTATGTAAAGGTACATAAAAGTTAAACATTCTAAGTTACTTGCTCGCTACAAAACAATTTTTACAAATATAGACATGTATTACACTATAATATAACTGAATATTTGATAATGAATTAAAACTAATCGATAGTATTAAAAAAAAAACGATGTATATTGAGTACATATATTTAAATAATGTGTGTGAGTGTCTGTAGTATCAAATAACAAAAATTATTAGTTCCACACTTTCTTAGCAAAACATATTGCGGTTTATTAAAGCGTTATTATCTTACTTATAAATTACTTCTTATTAAACATTTCATTATCATTCTCTTTCGTAACTCTCAACAATACTATATCTGTGTTTACATTGAAATTAATAAATTGAAGCATACTAATTTATCTGTGCAGATACGACGCCACGGCCGGCGAGCTGATAATGTGTGCTTCCTGAGCAGCTGTGACCCTATAACCCTTCTCATCAACAAAATGCCTTATCAACCACATAGTATCACTCACTTATTGACTTATCAGACGCAAACGAAACCCGTGCACGTACCAACCTAAGTGATGAATTCAAATACGGTGCTGCGTTTGTGGACGAATGATGTGTGAACCGTTAAGATGGGTGATCTGTTACCAAGTATACCAAGGAGTACGTTTGCGAGTGAGATAGAGGATGGCAATACCACTGTGGTTGAGTACGGGTCGGACGAGGAGCTGGCGGCTGTGGCGCTATTTCGTGATTATCCGGAGCCGCTGCTGCGGTTTGCATCTGTCTGCTGCGTACTATTCATGCTTGTTGGGATCCCTGGAAATCTTATTACAATCGTGGCTCTTGCAAGGTGCAAAAAGGTAGGTCCATCAACATTTTATAGACATTAAAACTTTCCATTTCAAGTCAGGACTTCCTAGGGGAACTAAGGAATAATGCGAAAAATACCAGACATGATATTTCATGGTTTTCTGAAAACGAATTTTAAGATTTATTGTTAGATTTTTGATGTAACTAAAAAAACAATACCTTATAACTTTTCTTACAAAAAAGGAAGTATCTACTTGGGTTGGCAGCCTGTACAAAAAACTGTTATAATAGTAGTAAAATTCATAAATTAAATTACAACGTAATATAGCGACGTGATTTGTGCATAATTTTAATAGTTTCTATTTGGGGATTAAACTTACGGAAAACGATTCAGTAAAATAAAAACCACTTGGTGTCGTGTTACGTAAGATATAGATTAACTTCTCATTTACATAACTCGTGGTATATTTATTACTTACTCCACACCCTAAAAATATAATTATTAATAAACACAAACGTTTATAAAGACTATGTGAACGTAACGAGTCTATGTTTTGAATAATTATAATTATGTCGTTAGATAAGATTCAAGATAACTGTACACACAAATTAGATAAAGAACTACTGTTATGGTCAGTTTTATAACAGACAGGGACATTTACAAATGTCTTTCTTGTTAAGATAGTAAAACCGTGTACAAACTAAGTGACATGTAAACATTGAAGTCGTTTAGAAGAAAATATTAACGAATAATTAACATTTGTCACAACTAGCAGTCTACTCAGTAAAATTAGGGTACGATATTATTAGTCATGCTTTGTTTTTATACCAAAATCACAGATTTTAACAAAAGAAAATGCCGAACACATTAGTGGTTATTTTGTAAAATTATACATGTATGATCAAGATCCTTGATTAAAACTTTTAGAATACCATTAACACTAATTCAATATCTAATGCCAATTTTGTTAATTTCCATTTAATGTTGCACCAGAAGTATAGTAATAATTGTAACATAATTTGGTTTTAGTTTCACTGGTAATAGATTATAGAGACGTCTCTTAATTTCTTTAAAATCAAGCAAGAAAAACTGCGAGACTAAAATGTTAACCATATAAAAGAATTTATATTACTAAAATGCACAACATGTAAAATAACATGTGTATATTCATTCAAATATTAGGAGTTAGTTTATGCCTTTACGATAGAACTCTGGGGATCTAGATTCGACAAACTGTGTGAAAGATTTTTTTGTATCGTGTAGAAAATTGTCCAAATCACGAAATAATGGCAGTCTAGACGTACGGGGATGACATATGGTTTCTAACTGCAGCTCCTGTAGATTCACAAAGGTTTCTCGTGCAGTGTGAGGTGTTGCGTTATCATGGAGCAATAATGGTGAATATCGATTCACGAGTCGGGGCTGTTTCACTGCCAAGTTCGCCATCATTGTTCGAAGTTCGGCACAGTAAACATCTGCTGTTATTGCCTGACCAAACCTAAAAAGGCAATTTCATACTTTAACCCCTATTATTATATATAATAGTGAATACCATTTACAGCTGTTGACTTCACTACTGAAAAAAATGACAACATATTTATTTGTATTTTTAATTAATTGACATTTGACATGATTGGCTGTTAAATGTCAATTCATTACAATAATGAAAGAAATATCTTTTAAATGAATGTAATAAATTATCCTTCTGTTATTGACTGCATGTATATTATTACAAACGAAGCTCTCTATTGACTTATATATAAAACCAGATTTACACTGCACTTTATTGAACTGTATCGACTACATTACTCTACATTCACTACGCTTAATAAAAGCAAGAATAGGTAATAGTAATTTTGAAGTACCAGTCGAAAATGTTTAGAATTCAAGACAAAACTAGTTTTATTGATATTTAACATCTACTACTCTGTACCATATAGCTGGTTTTAGTTATAAACACGCTATATAAAAGTACTAAAAGCAGCTGTCTCGGAATTCCAAGTGGAGATATTGCAAGGAGTTGATTTATTCACTGCACGATATAAATTAATGTCGTAATAAGGCATGAAATATCGCATGCTTCTTAACCTAGGTCAATGTAGGTATAGAGCACTGAATGTTTTTATTTAAATTAAAAAAAAAAGGATAAAAAATGTTGTATAATAAGTTTTTACACGCCGATGGACTAAATGAAGTGGGGATTATACAATAGTCAACAACAATGAACTATAAATGCGGTCAACGTCATTAGCGACGCCTCGTAGACCCCACCTAAAGTACAATCTAGTTTAGACGTCACATGTCTAAAATGATGATGAGTATTAAGATTGAGTACACGAACAAGAGCCAAGGACGGGACAATCTGTATAGAATCGGTAAAAGTAAAAATATTCTGAGTTTGATTTGTTTGATTTGTCGAAATTGTAACGTACGTTAACTGTTACTTAAAATCCTAATTTTTTAAATTTAATAACCTCCTTAAAAATCAGAATTAAAATGTTTTTTTTTGTAATCCAAATATATCGAGGCCTGTTAATGCAATTAAAGTTCAAAATAAACACAAGAACGACTTATTCGTACAAATTAGTTTATCAGTTGTTTTCTGTTCGTGTCTATTGTACTTAGACCATTTTGTCCACCTATTATTCTCACAATAGACGTACGGTACACATCTGTTGTGAGTGGAAGGAGTGAACAGCATTGATTGATAATGACCTCTTATCTCGTCTGTGAGGAGTTTCTATCTAGTAGCAGGATAATAATAGACCACTGATACAAGAGGAGCTTTTGAATAAATGTGTTACATCGGCAAATTGTATTGTGTATACATTGTGTGAAAAATTGAAATGCCTAATACTAAGAAATACGTATTAATTTAAAAAAAATGATTTGCCGAACACAGTAACATATCTTTATAGCTTTAGATAAGCTAAATGACATTTTCAAGCGTAGGTCAACTTATTCTGTGAAATCATTTGTGTTTCTCTCTCGTAGTATTTTCTTTAGGGTTTAAATATTCCATAAGGTTCGTGTTCTTTCTCTAGGTAATTGATCTTGGGGTACACACATTTTCCTATAAATTTATGTACATATTTAACAAGAAAAAGTTTTTATGTCACAGGTTCGAAACGCAACGGCCGTCTTCATAATGAACCTGTCATGCTCTGATCTTCTATTCTGCTGCTTCAACTTACCATTGGCTGCCTCCACTTTTTGGCGGCGATCATGGGCCCACGGCAGAATTCTCTGCCGCATGTTCCCTCTTGCCAGATATGCGTTAGTTGCTGTATCGCTGTTCACCGTGTTGGCTATTACTATAAACCGATACGTTATGATATCACACCCTCGACTATATCCCAAGTAAGTATAACGCCTGTATATATTTAAATAAAAACTTTCGTAAGCATTAGCATTAGTTCTTATTAATTAATACTATACTCACATTCATAGTTTGGTGATGCCGCTATCGGAACCAAAACTTAGGCATTCATAATAAACAAACACTAACACTTTAAACCATACTCTGTACCATATAATATGCTGTAACTTAAAAGCACATAGTTATCACAACAGAATATAATATGCATTAAATCCAGGACAGAATACATTTTTGAGAATTTATAACCAAAAAAAAAAAATTACATTTAACCCTTGATGATCTTGATTTGGAATAGTAATATCTAAAAAATCCCATATACTACTCGTTACTTGATAATTATTTTTTTCTGCAACAGATTGTACCGACGGAAGTATCTAGCGGTAATGGTGGCCAGCACGTGGATATTTTCCTTTGGAGCCCTTATCGCCACATGGTTAGAAAAATGGGGTAGATTTGGTTTAGATCCAACCATAGGATCTTGCTCAATATTGCCTGATGAAAACAATAGATCTCCAAAGGAATTTCTATTCGTAGGAGCGTTTATGTTACCTTGTTTGGCGATAGTAATATGTTACGCAAGAATATTTTGTATTGTAAGGGAAGCTGCGAGGAAATCCCGTGCACCTGCTCGAGGACGATCTAGACCAGGCCTAGAAGATTCTGCTGTTGGTTCTGCTTCGACAGCCCTGGAAAGGTCTCCCGGACCAGAAAATGGAATAAATCATGTTGCCCCTCCTCGAAGAGCATTGCTTGCTCCTCCAGCTCTACACTGTCCTCCAACACCAGCACCGGAACGTTCTTCATCTTCTGGAGTGGACACTCTAGATGGTCACGATGAAGAATCTGCTCTTGATAAACCGAGAACACCTAGTGGCGGCGAAACAGCTAAGCGGCTTCGACAAGCAGCTGTTGCCCTTAGACGGTCGCCAGCTTCTGTAAGACCACCTCGATTAACGCCAAAAGATAGAAAGCTCCTAAAAATGATAATGGCAATAATGCTGTCTTTTTGGGTGTGCTATTTACCTATAACTTTGACAAAGATATTTCGGGAGTTCACATCACATCCTGCAGCAAACATCGCTGGTTACATTTTAATATATTTGACTACGTGTATCAACCCGATTATTTACGTAGTGATGTCAAGCGAATACCGTCAAGCGTACAAAAATCTGCTGATGTGTCGACGATGGGCGTGACGTTCGCCCGGCGATGGTGCCTCCGAGAAGCGCCCGCCGTGACTAGTAGTAAATCGTTCCACAGCCTGAATAACTGCTAATAATGGACACTCAAGTGCATATGTGTAAAACATAAGTGATCAGTAACTCGTATAATGTAGTGACAACCTTAACTTATTCGAGGAGATTTGAAGAAAGTTTATTTGTTTTTCCTAGACAGTTTTATAACTTCGAACCGTCCGTGTTTCCGCTTACATGCAATGTCATGAAAGCATTAAGAATATTTTATACTGAAATAGTTTTGTAACGTCTCTAATACCAAATACCGATAGTGATGTTATAAATAAGGTAATATAAAAGTAATTTACGTATATATTTAGTTATCTGGTAAATAATACTCACTAATTGATAATTGAATGTCAAACATATTCATTGTATCATTGTCGGAAGCTAGCGATTTGTTTGTCATCAAATTATGTGAATCATGCTCCAGTATTATTAAACAAATCATATAGTACGTTTGAGGTTTAGGTATAAGTGTTACCAATGTTAATAAAGTTGGGAAGCAATATTGTAGTTGTATTGGGGATTGCGGCTAATATATGTATTATCAATCTCGGACGGACCCATGACGTCTAGTTTGACTCATTAGGGTAAAAAACAAACAAAACTATGTAAATTATAATTTGTTCCCTCATTTGTAGTGCAAATGTTAAACTTGAGTGACGTGCATTAAGTGACAATATTGTGAAAATGGGTGATGGAAATTTGAGTTTTATAATCCCGAAAGGGTTATCGTCGTACAAGACTGATGCGGATTTGGCAGCTGAGGAGTTGTTTAAGCTGTATCCTGATCCCCTGCTGCGGTTTGCGTCTGCCTGTTGTGTGATCTTCATGCTCATCGGCATCCCTGGCAACATCATCTCAATCATTGCACTTGCCAAGTGCAAGAAGGTCAGTGAACTCTGAGCGCACATGATATTTAATTATTATCTGCTTATTTTCCGTTACAGTTATAACTTGCTCTTACATATATATAATATTTTTAATTATCACATCACACCAATGCACTAGCTTAACCTTTATGGAACTAATGATATGTAAATATCACTTATCCTATCCAAAAGTACTGCTAAACATACTTCTGTCCTAAGGACTTCGTTCGTAGGTTTTCTGTAAGTTTAAGTTGACTCATTTAGTGGTAAAATACATTTACATATTCGTAACCAAACATAGGAGTAAATCGCCTCATACTAAACGATTTGTATATCGTCCTATCCATACCTTCTAGGATGACTAAAAAAACATCTTGGCTTTTAAAACTTAGTATTAGGTAGTTACAGACTTCATACATAAACTTCATCTTAAAGCATTGTACTAAGATCCATCAAGAACTCTGATAAAAAGGCCATATTAGTGGCAAAACCAAGATAATTAATGTTGGTATCTGTCAATTAAATGTATGTATGTAATGTAAATGTATGTATCCCATAATCTAAATGGCTATGAAAGGTTTGGACAGTCAAAATATGATTTGTGATCTTGCAACTCTTTTCACTCGTTAACACTGGTTTTTTTTCAATCTATACATTTTATTATTATTACAATATTTATTGCAAATGACGTATATGTTAACATTCAAACTTATTATTGAATTATAACAAAAAGGTTTATTGGTTTTTCCTTTAGAGTTTTTATTTACCTTTATACCACATATCAAGTTTATTACCAGGAAAATACTGATTTATTACACACGGGAGGAAACATACCATACATAATTTATTCAACTTTCAATTGAAGGTTTTAGTTGATACATGAACAAATTTAATACCTATTACATGAACATCACTTGAATCTGTAATTAAAACATTCCTTTGCCTAACATGCTTCATGTTAAATTCAAACTATCGTATACAAACAATTTATTAGGGTATGTACTCTACTTTGCGGTTGAGAAATTTCCTTGCAAGCTCAGCTCCGCCTTAACTAATACGATTAACTAGTATTGAAAACAGTTTCTATTCATAGCTCTGATATTTATAAGATTAAATGAATATATAATATTTCAGCAATACAACGGAATGCTAACATGTGTTCTGAAAATTTTTACCAACTTCGTTGTTCGTTTGCAATTATTGAATGGAATCCACTTTACGACACACGTCACAGTTTGATTCAAAATCTTTCTTCTTTCTGCATATGAGTTCATGGACCATCTATTATTAAAGTTTTTAATTTTACGGATTTACGGTGTATGGTAACATTGAATCACTAATTTTTAAACCATCACGTTCCATGGACTCTTATAGGCTGTTGATGATGATGATGATGATGACGTTCCATGGTAAATTTTTATTTAAAGATTGGGATTATATATCTTTGGATTGCCTGACGTCTCGACCAGAAGTCCAATTCTCGTAATAAAAGTTCGGTCACAATTTGGTTCTGATCAACTTTCGATCTCACGAAGTCATAAAATATAGTCTAATATTTTCGTAGTAAAGTATTACTAAGACAAGGAGATTACCGATTCAATTTTCGGTTATAATACGATATAATTACATTACAGTCAACGTTGGATGTTTAATATTTTACTACGAAAATACCTTTTATGACAGTTGTGAGATCGAAAGTTGATCAGAACCAAATTGAGACCGAACTTTTATTACGAGAATTGGCCTTCAGATTGCATTTACCGTGGTCGGCGCGTTTTGGGTGGAAAGGAGGACTATTTGTCAAGTGTCAAGCAAAACGTTAATTCTCGAAAAATATATAACATCAAGCCTTTATTCGTTCGGATCGGTTTTCACTATGTATTTCTAATTCATCATTATGTACCTCAATGACTAGTCTTCTTAATTGAACCATCAATTATAAAGTTAAAATTTGTACTTATAAAGGTCAAACTAAAATTGCATGTTGCTTTCATTAACCGTATCCTCGTATTTGCAATGAATGTCTTTGTATAAATTCACATTTTGCGTTACGAGCGTTATCAGAAATATCAGTAAAACTACTCAGAATCGAAGTCGAACAATCAGGTATTATTTCCTTAAACATTATTTTTTTCTTTGTTGTAAAAAAAAATATCACCTAAAATCGGACACCAAACAGGTTTAATTTTTATTTGAAGTGACCAACGTCATTAACCACCGTCCACCGTCATTATAAGAGACTATTTTAAATAACACACACATATTCAGCAATATACAGATCCATCCGTTAACATTGTAAGTGATCTCTAGCACAGGGAACCGTTGCCATTCGAACTTCGGTTTGAGGCAGAAACAAGCATATTGTTTACCAACTTAGTTGTATAAAAAATACATGTCTAGGTAGTGCAGTGATCTCATCCCTACAACAAAGGCTGACTTAGTAGGTGATGTTGCCTACAGTATTAGTAATAATAACCACACTATAAACATTAAATATTTGTTATCGGTGACACCGATGGCACGTAATATACTATGACGGTATAAATTATTTCTAAGGGGAAATACTTACTTACATACGCACAATTACAGACCTTATTATTAATTATTATAGTTACAAATTTTAATAAACGTACATCATTCACGATTGTACTCGTAGGGGTAATTTTAGCCCATCTTGTGTAAAACAGGACATGAAGATTGCGTTTAATCTATCATCAGGGTTGCATAGCTTCGGGGCACCAGGGACTTCCTCTCTAGGGTATACCTGGTTCCCCGGCTATTAGTACCCGAGACGGCGTGCGGTTTTAGTCGGTTCGAGTCCGACATGCCACCGATAGGTGGTATCCGAGGGGATTACCGCACGGAAACAAAAAGAAAAAAAAAAGGGTTGCATAGCTGTAACACAAATTGATTAATCCCAGAAAGATCCGAAGAGATCCCAGAGATCCCTCTTTAACATAATGATAAGAATACAATAAATATGATCTAATGCACTAAGATAACAGAAATCAGTTTTGATTTGTGAAATTAAACTTTTGTAAATTTATTCTTCATTACAACAAAGGGACATCAATAAGCTAATGAAGTGAACATAAATTTATTATTCAAATTCTAACTCGTAGAAATTAAATAATAAGAGACATCCAAATATTTACAATGCTTCAAATTCACTGTTCATCTATATATATAAATGTTAAATTGGTTTGCGTAAAAACTCAAAAAGTTGTGCACCGCTTCAAAGATTGTTTTTTTATCTATTTTTCGCGTCAGTTTTGTTCATTTCTCAACAATGTCATGCCGCTTACTACTACGCTAAGTATTCTGGGTTCGATCCCCACATGAGACGACACTTTGTGCGATCCAAAATGTATGTTGGTAACGTCCCCCGCAACACAGGATATATTCCTAAAGCAGGAGCTGTCTTTATAAATTAACAATCAGTAATATAGTTTTAGATGATCATCAAATATGAGAAAATACTATGAAGTTCAAACGAATTCAAATTAAATTTTAAATTTGAGGCCATATTTTAAAATATTATTAAATACAGTATTATCTCTTTACAGGTTCGCAACGCAACGGCAATATTCATCATCAACCTGTCCTGCTCAGATCTTCTATTCTGCTGCTTCGTGTTACCTCTCGCCGCGTCAACTTTTTGGAATAAATCCTGGAGACATGGCATAATCCTATGTCATATGTTCCCGTTTGCAAGATATGCGCTGGTTGCAGTGTCTTTGTTTTCTGTGTTGTCCATCACTATCAATAGATACATCTTGATTTCTCATCCAATACAATATGTTAAGTAAGTATTTTGCAAAAAAAATGCTGCCCTAAAAGTAAAGAATTGTATACAGTAATAGGATAGCTCAATATTTTGGTGATTTTCACGTCATCATTGGACCCTTATTTATGACGCACAAATTACTTTATTCTATGAGTATTAGTCGTAGCGACGTAAGTAAATTGAAAAAAATAAAGTAAATGGCGACATATATTATTCTTATATTTAACTTAACTTTAACACTTTAACACTTATCTTTAACACACATGTGCGAATAAAAATACGATATTCAAATTCTCACTAATAGGTATTCAAACCGATAATAACAGCAGAGAACAGTGACAGCTTAGTCGCTGACAACTAAATCCGAAAAAAACTTTTGACAAACTGTAACTTCCAAAAATACCTATGAATATATTTACTTAAGTATTTTCGTACTTGTACAAACCATAGTGATATACTTTTCTTGTTCATGACTTTACAGTATGATTTCTTTGTCAACAGAATTTACACAAAACGGAACCTATGTTTGATGATCGCTAGTCTCTGGTTATTTTCCTTTGGAGCATTGATACCTACGTGTCTCGGAGTATGGGGGAGATTCAGTTTGGATACCGTCACTGGCTCCTGTACCATCATACCGGATGAAAATGGCAACTCACCGAAGAAATTCCTTTTCATAATCGCCTTTATGTTACCGAGTTTAGCTATTATCCTATGCTATGCTCGAATTTGGTGGATTGTCAGAAAAACAAACAGATTAACACGTAGACCAACTCACATAGCGTCTATAGAAATGAAGAGGTTTAATATGAGTACAGCTACTATAGTTACAAGATCACAAGACCAAAAACGCCCTAAAAGCACTTTCCCTTGTAGCTGCTTCATACAAACTCCTGCTGAACTATCATCTTCTAGTGATAGCTACAGCCCAGATCCAGAAAGCAGACATAGCACTCCTGAAGCTGCAGTTCGAGCACTTGGTGAGGAACCAAAGAATTATAGAAAAAGCTTCATAGCAACGATGAAATGGAGCACGGCACAGAAGCCACAACTTCCATCGAAAAGAGACAAGAAATTATTAACTATGATTGTTGCTATAATGGTAGGGTTTTGTGTTTGCCATTTACCTATAACGCTAACGAAAACAATATTTTTGGAAATCCGTCCCCATCCAATACCAAACATAATAGGATATGTGCTTATTTATTTCACTACTTGCGTCAATCCTGTCATATATGTTGTGATGTCTAGTGAATACCGACAAGCGTATAAAAACCTCATGAAATGTGGACGGTGAAATTAAATAATATATTTGTAGAAATTGAATACTCAAATATTGTCGTAACGACATTAGATATTTAAATAACAATGATGAGTGTATTCGTCCGAGTTACTGAAAAAAAAATGACAATGAAATAATTGGAAACGTGCAATATAACAATCACATTTTATTCTGTGTTATCAGTATTAAAAAAGTAAATATTGACTATGGATGCTATAAATATTAATGATTTACTTGATTTACAGATCTAACAATTATTACATTCCTCAAACTAAAATAAATTTAAATAAACATCTTGTATGCTTTCTAAGTCAATATATAGGTTAGTTGTATATAAAATGAAAAAAAAGTATACTCGTATAAAATGAATGTATACGTAGATAAGTGTTAGCAATAACATGTAGAAGAAATATTTGTATTAAAGTTAAGATACAACCGAATACTCTCTATTGTCATTTGTTTGGGTGTGGTGTCCCATTTGCAATGGGAAGTCATTCTTTTCACCCATGTATAATAAAAGCCATAGTTGCTTTACAAAATAATCACTTTTATATTTATAAATTATATATCCTTTTTCAAACTAGAATACCAAAGATTAACTTGCGAGAATGTTTATATTCGAAATCCGGACTTTTTAAATTCGATTGCGTAAAAAATTGTACGTCGGTTAACAAATCAAACTGCTACAAATTGATCGATTTTAGTGTACACTTAAAATACGAAATATTACCAGTAAACACTAATTAAAACGTATACCAAAATTTTGATAAACTGACGCTTGTTACCTGTATGTAATTCATTTAAGGCGATATTTATACCATTACGTCTATTACATCTAAAATATGATATTAAGTATTACGATAAAATAAGATTTTTATAGTATATAACCAAATCAAATAGATCGAACTCTAATTAATGAAATCGAAAACCTTCAAGTTGCAGGTGACGATTGTTTGTTGCGATCATTAATTCATATAGGATCATTTGTTGCGGTTAAAATTTCTGAGTAATTATAATATAGAAAAACAAATTTCGTATAATGAACTTTACTGAAAAGGAATTGAGTTGAATATTGCTTAAACATTTCTAATGCTGATTGTACATATTTTCCATGTATTTGCTAATGACGTATGAATGGATGATTTGTCGGGCAAACAATTGTCACTAGACGTACAGGCATTTCGTACTAGTGTACAATATCAATGTGTGATATTATTGTAAATAAGGTGGATGTCAAAGACATTTGAAATAAAATGTTCGGTAGGAATAAATATTGAATCGAAGAAGGTGCTGTTTCGTTGGACTAAATTGAAATACTAAAGTTATTTAATACTTAAAACTATAATGATATGAATGTAGACTGCGAACAGTCACTTATGATCTTTAAAAATTAATCTCAATAAAAGGGCAGCAAATAATGCTTTATTTAAATTAAGTTGTTAATTAAATATAGCTTGTATTGTAAATGAGGGAAGATATTAACAGCGCTTTTGATTCAAACATTGTAATACAAAATTAAAAAAAGACGATTATTCCAAATGATTGTCAGTTTTTGACGAAATGTTAAAGTGTTACTAGTGTTTAGATTAAATGTTTTATATGATAGATTAATTAATAGTTGTAAATAACGCCATAACCCAAGATTTTCCAAAGATATGTTAATATTGTGTAAAGGCAATTTATTTAGTCAAGAGGTATTCTTAATGTATTTATTTCAAGTCACGTCACATCTACAAGTGAAGCTATATAAAACCAACATGTTAAACGTTTGTTGTTTAATAATGTGGAGTACAAGACGTTGCCAATAATAATAGTTGATTTATGGACTCAAAATATCAATGTTTTTCAATCTCTGGTAGCAAACGTTTTTGTAGGTTTATGTTTTTATAAGTTTCAAATGGGTCTGATAGAATATATTTTTTTAGGATTAAAGAAGGTTCACAAAAAACATCAAAATGTTAGAATTACTGATGGCCTCCTTATAAATTTAGAAAACAATTGCAGGTTTTGATTTAATAAACACGCATGAATTACTCTGGAATAAAAAGTTTCACCAACGGTTTTAATTATTTAAAGCTCATTCTTATTTATAACCCGTTAAATATTTTTCACGAATAGTTATTGAATTATTAAATATTTTCATTTACTCGCTTATTTTGTATTCAATAAGACCGTGGCCTACGCTAAAAATCACATACAAAATACTTACAAACAATGAAAAGTTGGTGAAAATTGGTGAACTCTCTATTTATATTTGCATAATTTTACATAGCTCAGTTTTATATTACGACAAGTTAATTATTCTAATAATATTAATATATTAATACCACATAATAATATTGTCATTGAAAAAATGAATACGTAACTCACTACATCAATCAGCAAATAAAAATATTAAATAACCAAAATATTTGCCTTTCAAATATCACTTTAATAGCTGCAAATAAATCTCTCATTGTGGAATAGTTTCTCTTTTGCATAAACCAAAATACAGAATAAATGTTGTAACAAAAAATTGGATTACTCTTAAAAGAAGAACGAAATTTCAAAAATTAAATAATGTAAAAAATACACTCATATTACACAATAGTAGGTTGTACAGAAGTCGAAGTTCCTTATTTTTAAGATAGATGAAAGGCAATGAAAATCTTCTGGTTTTGAAACAAAATTCTAACCAATCTCATTAAAGCTGAATACTTCTACAATTGTATTACACAGAAAATTATAGTACTCTATAAAGATTTTTTTAGCTTTATTCAAGTAAGTAAGAATATTTCTCTTTAAATACAAAAAAAAACTACAAAGCTAAAACTGTATATTTCATAATGTTTAATGTTAAACATACTTTACGAGTTTGTAAAATATATACTGTACTTCTAAGGAGGCTTTGATATAATACATTACACGTTACACATACATAAGTACATTACACGTTGTTTAACTCAATGTACGGAGGACTGAAAATATTTTTTTATTTAACAATTTCAAGTTTGGACTTCAATGAAATACCTATCTTCACTTGACTTAACACGTCATTTGTATACCCAAAGAATCTCTTATTTCTTAAGGAGATATATATTATTTAACCCTATTAAGTATTCATTCTTTGTAATCATTAATTATCAAGGTCGCTTATTAATTTTTTGAGATATATAAGTATCAAAACTCAACATCAAATAAGATTAGTAATTTCTTAACTGAATGAATATCTAAATGGTTATTTTATTACAGTCCATTTCCAACTATGATTATTGCAAACAAATACTCACTCGAATGAAAACCACCTATATGGGAAAATAAATTCAAACAGTGTAGGTACCAAAGAACCAAGTTCCGGGGCCACATCCCTTAAGCCATTGTACTTACCAAAGATATGATTAAAATAAGCTAAAGCATTATTCTTTGTTTTATTTATATAAAACCTTTATCCCACTTTATTAAAACGCAGACAGCCGACATTTTCATAGATGTTTTGAAATATTATATAATTGACAGTCAAGCAAAGTGAATAACTAAACAGGTATACACCACCATGTAGTTTTAACAAGTAAATTTATTTTTAATGGGTAATGAAGTTTGTGTGCTGGTGTGAGTGACTACCGACGCCCATAAACACCTCTCAAGAGTCACGATTTCTCCCACTCCTCGTAATTAGGCAACAGGAGGAGTGGGGGGGGGGGTATTTCTTGCCTCCGGTAGCCTCATTCACTCAATGAAAGAAATGAAACGAAAGAATGCGTAATATCATCTTCATATGTGTAGACATTAGTCTTCCAATTCACGTGATAGAAAGTGACGGAGAAGTTAGCACACGCCTATCCTAAAAATGGCATATTTACTTAATATACTCTCAAATGTTCCAGGATTGTAATTAAAAAGTAGACTAGTTCATTTCAGACTGTAGCGATTCGAACTAAGTTGAAGGTGTAAAACGCTCACTTCAGCTGTTTGAGTGTTGCGAAAACTTATCTTACAATTCATATAAATCTGCCTTTTTTTTTTTTTTTTTTTTTTTTTTTTTTTTTAAAGAAGCGAAACCATATATAAAGGTTAGGCAATAATAATAAGCTATGTGTTAACAGTCCTAGCTAGAAAACCACAAACTTTTGTAGGATTGAGATGCTGCCTACGTACTTTTGATTAAGCAGTTACTAAAACCTGAAAGGATGGCACGGAGGAGGATAGGACGAGGGGCTGCCTTTGGTAATGGCGAGCAGGGCAACCGCCTAGGGCCTCGCTTATACAAGGGGCCTTCTGCACACCCGCAACAACCCAACTAGAAAAATGTTTTTTTTTATTTCACGCCTTAAGCCTCATTTTATAAAACTAACGGCAAGTTTTACGTTCGAGGATTCTCCATGTTTCATTCCACTTGTCATTTTGACAGGTTTCCGGTATCGACTGTCGTCGGCTTATGTAAACAGGATCTAGATATCATTTAATGGTCTTTGACATAATTTATAATAGCTACGTTAAGAAGTTCAAAGAATCATTAGTAAAAATAATTAGAATATGTCGGAGTGTCATTACTCCTATTCATCCCATGGGTGTCGTAAAAGCCGACTAAGGCAAAGACTAAGCAAACCACGTAGGAATAGCACGGCAAAGAGAAATAAAACTTGAAACAAACCCTATATGAAATAAAACTTGAAACAACCAATGCGTCTGACCAAACCTGTTTTCTAAGGAGTGGCCTATGTTCAACAGTGGATGATGATCATTGATGATGAAAGTGATGTGACTGTCATATTGCTGCTCGAATACCAAAGTATTCGAGCAGCAATATGACAGTGATGAGAAGGACTTATCGTCATTAAAATGAGTTCCATAAAGACAAGGGCCCGGCAATTATTTACCTACCTGGGCCCTTGCAATACCTAAGGCCGCCACTGCTTAAGACATTACAGAGCCGGATATGGCCCCACGTAAGCAGACCAATCATTGATAAATATAATGTGGTTACTATACTGTTGAGTTTACGAGTAGCTTCCATCGGTGGTCACTTGTTTCCTAAC